TTCTAGTTATTGAGGCCCCTGCATTACATAGGACCATCGGCCCCGAGGAAGGCGCTCCCAGATGCCGGGCGACTTGCCTTGGAGCTGGGGCTGACCTACGCGACTTGGAAGCTCGAACCTTTTGGGGGTAGGGTTTCAGGATTTTAGGGTTTAGNNGGTTTAGCATTGAGGGTTTAGGGTTTTAGGGTTGAGGATTTTAGGATTTAGGGTTTATAAGGTTTCGGATGTAGGGTTTAGGGTTTAGGGTTTATAGGTTTTGCGGCTTATGAAGGGTTTGTAAGATGCTTATAGCGTTCAGGTTGTATAGGGTTCAGGGTTTAGGTGCGCGCAGCCTCTGAAACCCTTTACGAATAACGAATTACGGTTAAGGGTTTAGGGTTTATAGGGTTCAGGGAATAAAGTTCCTCAATTTTTGCATTAAACCTCAAGCTTAGGGGTTTAGGGTTTAGGGTTCATGCAGCCTGAGACCGAAACACTACACTAAGCATCACCCGACTTGGGGGTGCTTTGTGCGTTTTAGCCAAGGTTGCCATGCAGCCTACAGTGGCCAGCTGCTTCAAAGTTGTACATGACTCTTGGCTTGTAAACCAAAACCTTATATAATAGTTTCGGGCGTTGGGTGTTGCAGATTTGGGGTTCAGGGTTATAGGATGTTAAAGTTATAAGTTGAATGCCAGGGCACCGTCAAACCTGCCGCCCAACATGCACCGAGCCTCAACATGGCCCTCCGTTGCTTGCACAGATCTTGGGACTGTTTCATACAACAGCTTTAACAGAAGATAAGTCAGTACGTCTTGTGAATATAGGGGCCATAATAACTAGAATGGGTTTTGGGGGTTAGGGTTTTGGGGTTCCTTATTATAATTATAGTATAATCGACCCCCAAAACCCCATTTAAATTATGAAGGCCCCTACATTAGCCATTGAGGCTCCTGTGTCTTCATATCTGGCGAATGCAGAAAAGCAGGCCTTTTGGTACAGGTTTTGGTACTCCCTGCCTCGAGCCAAGTCAAGCCCAATCCCTGCACTCCTTCCCCTCATAGTCCCTAAGGGCCTAAACCCTACACCCCTAAACCCCTAAACCCTAAACCGTAAACCCTAACCCCTAACCCCTAAACCCCTAGACCCCTAATCCCTAAACCCTAAACCCTAAACAACTTACAGCCAGGTGCCCAAATGCTATTCCCGCAAGGTTCTGCGCCCTGAACTCTTTCATCCCTTTATAGTCCTTTCGTACTTGGCACTACCATATATCCTACAATGCTGAATTCCAACTTCCACAATATTTTGCTCTTCGTCACCTATGCTTCCATATGCCCGGAAACCCTATTCTAATAATCTCCTGTGCCCTAGGCTCCCATGTCGCTAGGTCCCCCTATGGTGCCTTTATGAGTATAGTTATACCAGGCTGTCCTGCACGGTAACAGAGTGGCCTGAAGAGTTACTGGTAGCGCTAGTGTTACATACCTCAAGACCCTATTCTAAGTATTAAGGCCCCTATCATAGAGTCTCCTGTCTCCGCAGGAGAGCCCCTTGCACCGGCCAGTCGTCAGCGGTGAACAGAGGAGGCCAGCATGCACTGCTTCTTTCCAATAGTGTAGGAACCCGAAACTCTAAACCTTCTAGGGTTTAGGGTTTAGGGCCTGTGGGGCCTAGGAGATGTAATAATTGGGTGTGAGGGTTTTGTGTTTAGGGTTCCGAGCGCACTGAGCCCAATTCCTTGTTTTTGTGGCTTTGAAATTACCAGGCTCCTTTCTCGCCGTGCCGACCTAGTCTAGGCGTCGGTATCCTAAACCCTAAACCCTAA